CAGACACACACACACACACAAAGAAGTTAAAACAAGCCAAACATTACAATCCAATTAAAGATGGGGATGGGGGCAGGATGGGGGGAGAGGTCAGATCTGTTGTTAGTCCATCAACCACCTCCACTGTGATGTTTCCCCATTGGAGCCCCTGGCTAGCTGGCAATTTTCCTATAATTTATTTATTATATTTTTAAAAAATACCTATCTTCCTCATAGAACGATTCAGGCATTGTGCAAAAAGACACAAAAACTTTATGTCAATATTATAATAACAAATGAAATCAGGAATAGTTAAAGTTCAAAATGAAACAAGGCTGGGGAATGGGCTTCAGGGAATAGCTGCAAGCTGAGCAAGTCGACAGAACTAGGTCTTCAAGCATTTATGAGAGACAGAGGGAGGGGGGGCTGTTTCACTTCTGGGAGAATGTTCCAAAGGGCGGGAACAACAGCAAAGAAAGCTCTTTTCCTGGACATCCTCCCCCCCATCTTTAGAATTCTTATCAACGGTAATGCAGGACAACAATTTTCCTTGTGATAACTGAGGATGATATACCATGATCCTGGAAAACCATTCCCTTTTATATTTTTACAATTGCCTGAGTGATTACAATGCACTAATGTCAAATATAAATAGCCCTAATTATATAAGATTTCATGAAATGGTAGTAAAATTTATTTTTTGCCATTTATTTATACTATTGAACTGGAAAACCATAGACATTTCAATATTGTCCATAATTTTAGAACTGAAACTAATGGGACATTATTTGTGCAAATAAATTCTTAAAAGAAACAAACAGCCGTAGTGTGACCTGTGATGTGATAGGAAAACTGTAAATTTTTATTTGTTTTGGTCCTTAAGAGGATCAGGGAATGTTACCCTTTTTAAATATCAGAAATAAACGGTCACTGACAATAGTTTTTAAAGATTGCCCCGTCTTTATAAAATAACTTGGACCCCCTCCTTCTATTTCATTCCAAGTCACAGATAATTATTATTTGTATTTATTTATTTCAATATAATGGAAAGTATGGACAGTTTGCAAGAAGCATCTTAAAATGGTATCCTGTGGAGATAGTATGTATCTGAATAGGCATTATCAGCCAATCAAAGGATGAGAATTAAGTGATACCACTTTTTCTTCTCCAGTTGCAAAATATGATGGTTTTCTCAGTTTGGCACAGTAACAATGTCCTTCATCTGTAGTTGGCAGTTTCTTCATGTTGCACAACAGGATGGGATTTGCCTTATGTTATTTGACTTAAGGTCAGCAAATATTCTACTAGACTTTGAACTGCAGTTTGCATTTAACAGAATAGGGGTAGAGCATTGACCTGTGAAACCTGCATGTGTACATTACACAATTGAAATTCCCTATTCACATCTCCTTAGATATTCATTTCCAGATCTAATAATCTAAAAAAAAATAGTGGGTCACATTCCACCCACTTAGTAAATGTATTGTTGTCTACCTAGCAACAAATTTACCAACTAAAAATCAAACCCTGCCCTTTTCTCATGCTTTTAAAGGCAGACTGCAGAAATCAGTGTATTAATATTACCTGCTGCTAAAGGCATAGGAATAGAAGCAATAAAAATCCTGGGGATCATCACTTCGTAATGCTTAGGCAATATTACTAAATTCAAGTTCTATTCATTTCAATGAAACATTTGTTCTGATTAGTTTGCATATGCCTGGAGTTGTACAAAACCATTATAAGGAATTAATTTTACTAGAGTCCCTGTGAAGCCTCTTTCAGATCACAAGTAGTGCAGTCATTACTAGCCTAATTCTATGCATGCTTATGGGCCAAAAGATAATGACCAACACCTCCCCGCTCCCCTCTATCACATGATTAAACTTGGAAATGGATAAATCAACTGGCAAGGTAGGCTGAAATATTATTCGTATCAAGGAGTACATACATTTCTCTGGAATGAGCAGGGCTGCTGAGTTAATATATATTCTAGGATTATACTACGGTATTAGTTTTAAAAATCTGGTTCAAGATAATCAGTCAAATTTATAATTAGGTTTTCAACCACTAATCTTAAAGTGGATTACATCTAATTGTTATCTGCTTCTTTGGAAGTAAACTTCATTAGATCAATGAGACTGACTTTCTTGTACACATCTACAGGTAGTCCTTGACTTATGAACACAATTGAGCCCAAAATTTCTGATGCTAAATGAGACATTTGTAAAGGGAGCTTTGTCCCAATTTGCAACCTTGTTAAGTGAATAACTGCAGTTAAGTTAGTAACGTTGTTAAGTGAATTTGGCTTTTACATTGACTTTGCTTGCCAGATGGTTGCATAAGGTAATTGCATGACCCTGAAGCCATCATAAATATGATTTAATTGCCAAGCATCTGATTTTTGATCAGGTGATCATAGGATGCTGCAACAGTTATAAGAGTGAAAAACTGAGTCACTTTTTTCAATGCCTTTGCAACTTTGAATGGTCACTAAATGAACTGTTGTAAGTCGATGACTATGTGAATTGCTTTAAGTAAAGCCACAGTGATAAAGATATAACGGGGCAGATTAAAATTGGAATTATTGAAAAAAATTGCCTGAGGGCAGTTTGTGATAGCATTTACCAAAAAGTAGTCCCTTGGACCAGTCACAGCAAAATTATTGACTCCAGACCTTGGCAACATCCACTGAAAAATTCTGGCGCTTGGCCCCAACTTGGTTTTCTTTTTTAGATTTCAAAAATGCAGGAAGCAACAGAAGAGATACGCCATTACCTGAAACAATCAGGATCCAGTCCATAAATAATGTGGGGCTACATTTAATTGTGTATTAAATAATCTCTGAGTGAGCAGTTATAATCTTAAACTAGGTAGGTTAGTTGCCTACTTGAAGTAAACATAAAACACCTGTTGGTTGCTTGGGCATAATTGGTATGGAAAGGAGGCTTCAAACAGGCATTTAAAAAAAAATATCTTAGCATTTATGAAGAGTCTAAGAAATCTGGAACAATAGAATTCTATAAGGAACATGAATGGTCAAAGGCTCTAGCTAGGTTCACATTGCAAGAAAAGATCTGTTTGTCAATAGAAAAATGATAGAGGCTTCATTTGCAGCTAAGGAAGTTCCTTTCTAACTTCTGGGAGCCTTTATTTTTTATTATTGTTGAGCTGAAGGGAGTTTCTTAAGAGAATGATTTAGAACTGCTTCGTAACAAAGACTGCCTTATGTCAGGAATTTTAATGTAAGTTATAGAGATGATCATATTTGACGGATTTTAGACAATGAATCTTATTTGGGCAACAGGGATTTGGCATCAAGAAGAGGTCATTTATGAGTTACTCTCCAGCCCCTATCCCAAGTTGAGTCCCTGTCTGGGTGAATGGTGTTTTTAATTCTAATCTTGGCATTTTAAGATGCATAGACTCCAGGAATTAGCAGATGAACATAATTACTTTGTTTAAAAAATGACCAGAAATTCAGTGCACAACTAAAAGCGGTTACAATTATAAATTTTCCTAAAATTGTTTAGCTACCATGGAAAGAATGACGTTATAGGTGATATATGCAGGTTTCCTTCAAATCCACATTATTGCATAGCTGTATCAGATAACTAGAATTTATATATTTGTTATTTATCAAATTTGTAAAGCTGCCCGTCTCACCAAAAGCAATTCTGCACAGCACACACTGATCGGATAAAAAACAAACATAAAAGCAACAGACATAAAAATATAGGCATCTACATTGAAAAAATAAATAGTATAAAACAAATATAAAATACAAATATATATCTGTATTTTATATTTGTTTTATACATTTGTATTTTACAAGGAATTACAATCTTCTCTCTCCCACTATCTCTATCTTTCCAGATGGTTCTGTAAGGCTGCCAGCCAAATAGGAAACCAGCAAAGGTTTTCATACCTCTGTGTGTAAATGAGATTTCATTTAAAGCTTCATAGAATCATAAAGTTTTAATTCTTAATTTCAGTACTATCACACTATATGCTCTGGTGGGCTGTTATTTAGCAAAAGAAATATAAAGTAGACCCAGTTATTGCATCTATTTGCTGTCACTAACAGGAAGAGAAAATTATGTGGGAAATTATATGAATTAAATCTCTTTCTTCGGGAGTTTTGGGCACATGCATGCTCAAAAATACTGTATGTCTCATAAAATAAATTATAAGAGAGAAGGAAAGAAGGTTCAGTTTGAGTCTGACTATTCTGATGTGAATCTCTGTACATCAGCATATTCTAGTGTATATTCAACTAGCAACAATCCCAGTTATTTTTGTTTGCATAATTCAGGAAACTGAAGACTTCATCTTATTTGAACTCAATATAATAAGTTATGGATATTGTATTATAGTTTTTACTAGATTTATTTCAGAATAAATTATTAAACACAGGTCCTTGGGAAGAACTCATAAGTGGACAAAAATGCCAAATCCAGTAATAGTACTGGATAGATGTTTAAAAATGCCAAATCCATTCTGAACATCTGGTTGACTGTACATCAAACCATAATAGATTGCATTAAATTTATGTTACTCAACTACTAGTAACCTTAAGAGTTTAGGGACAGACATATTTTAGATGTTTAATCATTTTTATATGAATACATTTTTTTTTATATGGGGGTCCAATATATAGACTACATACCAATGTTTACTTCTGGTTTTTGGCAAAAAAAACGAACCTAATGCAGACAATGAGTTCGCTTAATGACTCTGGCATTTGCTTAGAACCACCAAAACAAAGGTTGTAAAATTATGGATATTCACATGTTGATCTTCTTAATGACCAGCATGACTTACGACCATAACTCTGGATTCAATCATGAATGTTGAGGACGACTTGCAGTGATGGAATTCAAATAATTTAACAACTGGTTTTCTGCCCTAATGACCATTTTACGTATAAAAAACCCCATATATCGAAATATAGTTCATGCATTTAATACTTAAATAAAATAAGAGGTACACAAAACTAGATTATAAGAGTTTTAAAATATTAATAAAAAATATTAAATAATATCTGACAAAAAATAAAACTAAGATATTTTTATATTGCTTCTTGATTGAGGTCCCTTTTCTTCCCTTTTATCCGAGCATCGTCAGCTGAGTGATTTATCCTTAACCATTTTTTCACTGTAGGAGTAGGATCCCATTCCTTTGGAGGTGGGCCAATTAGACTAATAGTCATTGTGTTTGATGTATTAGGAACAGTTAGGCGACTTCTCTTTCCTGAACATATTATGTTCAACTTTGAAAAAGCACTTTCCACTTCTGCAGAATTGACCGCAATTGTTCTGACAATATTTTTAGCTCTTTGAACACTTTCAGGAATTTTATATTTCTGGGAATTTTTTAGAACATTTTCCAAGAAATCTCGATAATCATTCATATCAATTTTGTAATTAAAAATGTCATTAAATACAAACAATTTATCTTCAGCTGGTCTCCATGGAACGTCTACTTCTTCAATATTCCAATAATCTGGGTTCAAATATTTGAGAATTTGTAATATATTACTGTCTTGAAATTGGCCACAAATTGCTTTTAAATGTTCACAATCCATTAATCTTTTTTCCAAATTCATTACAATGTTTTCTAAAAGTGTTTCCCGAGGAAGCCCGACAAATTGCTGATTTTCTACAAATTTTATATTTTTGAATGTTTCTGAAGAAATTAATTCATCTACTTTTTTTTCATATGGACCCTTTTCCTTTCCAAGCATTTGAAATGCTTTAATAGATCTTGTCATGAGTATGTCAGCCTTTATTATGTCTGTATTTCGTGCTTGTAGTGCATTTGAAAGTAGGGAAATTTCATTTAGAATGTCAATCATCAATGCCAAATCAGTCAGAAAATATCTATTTTCAAGACGGGCAGCCATACCGAAGTACTTTTCCTTTGAATGAAAAAAATGATGTAGCACCGGATAAGCATGCCACACAGCTAGGGTTGACCTTAAACTACAGGCAACCCAACTTGGTCCCAAAACTCTACCAATCTGTGTAATTTCGTTTCCAAGTTGTTCAGATATTTTGGTAAGTTCCATTTTGTTCTTATTAGATTGATGAAAAATAGTATGTATTTTATCAATAAATATTTTAAAATGATTTACTTGCTTTATTTCATTTATCGAATCATCTAAACCAAGATGAAGGCGATGGTTTAAACAGTGCCATATTATGATGTTTGGAAACTCTTTTGCTATCCTAGTGCTCACTCCAGATTTTCTCCCAAGCATAATGCTGGCACCATCAGAGCAAAATCCTATTAAATTTTTTTCAAGGTAGTTCTTAGTAAGCCCAATATTATTTAAACTTTCCATAACTGAAGAAAATATTGTGTCTGCATCTTGCTTTTCCAATTCAACTAGCTCAACAAAAATTGTTGGTGATGTAACGGAATCTTCAACTTTTAAGAAAACTATAACAACTGGTTTGCACAAAATCATTGGGACTTCGTCAATAATCAAACATATTTTCAGATTATTTTCAATAATTTTAGTAAATATTTCTTTTTTAATTTCCTTTGCAATGAAATCAACTACTTTCACAGCAGTTGTACGTGAATGTAATCCTATTCCCATATCTAATCCATTTTTAATTTGCACTTCTATCTCTTCTTTTATGTCTGAAAACGGTTTACAGCTTTTTGCCAGGCAATAAACTGTATTAAATACCCTACAAGTAGTATGTAAATATTTTTCATTCTTATCTGTTCCTTTTGTTATTGAATCCTGCTCACATTGTTTTAAGTTCTTTTTATCAATATTATGAGTTTTCAGTTTTTTCTTTAGAGAAGCTTGTTTTATCTCTTTAATTTTGGAGTTACCATTTTTCATTTCAACAATTGAAGTGCTGCTTTCTTCAAGTTGGAGTGGTTGTGCTTGTGACTGTTTTGTACCATCCAAGGCCAATTCTGATACAACTGATTCCGATTTTGGTTTCTTATTCAAAAATTCTGTCAAACTGTGTTGCCTTTTCATCCTTTTAAGGGCTCCTGCAAAAAATTAAAACATGTTTTATCTTAATGTATTATAATAATATTTATTTACAGACATTAATACCCTTTATTGAAGATTACAAGATATTGTACAAAAACTTATTGAAAAGTGTATGCATCAATAACCAAGCAAGGACATATTGCAACATATTACTACAATCACCAGAGGAAATCATAGAATAAAGAGCAGGCAATAACCAGAATCAAAAGAAAAAATTGTAAAAGATAAGCCAATAGCTGGGTCAAGACAAAATTATCACAAAAACAAGGTGGTATTGCTCAAGTAGAAAAAAATATGATTCAAACTGTTGGAGGTTAAAACCCACCCATCTCCTAGGAAAGTGAAATATTTCGGGATACACTACAAAGGCAGAATATTTTCCCTAAAAGGCAGAAACTCCCCCCCCACACACACACACCTTTGTTAATGGGCCATTAAGGCCTAGGCCAGTCTATTCTACATAACAAAAATTTATCTCCTTCAGGCAGAGCCATTCAATTGCCCTTCACTGCACCACCCACCAAGTTTCAACCAAACTTAGCACACAGAGAACCTACAAAGCTAGCTATGACCAGTCAGGATACTCTTCCTGGGCCCCAGTAAGTTCAAAGCCAGAGAGGGCATAAAACCCAGGGACTCTCAGCATGTCTTCCCTTTTTTCTTCACCCAAGGCATGTGATCCTGTCCACCATTACACCATTTCTCCTAACAGCCTCCCTGTTTCCAGTGTCATTTCTCCCTCCCCACCACTTGGAACTGAGCCCTGAAGGATATTTCTTCCAACAAAACAATATGTATAAACTACATCAGTATCAATATGTGGATCCTTCCCATTCTGCATCAAGTCAACTTTGAAGAAAATTTTGAACATCTGGAAGTGAAAATCCAGGAGCAGGGGGAAAAAAAAATACCCCAGTCTCACGTACTGGGAAGGACTTTCGCTGCCAGGCTGTTTAAACATTATTTCAAAGCTTACTTGATGCAGAATGTGGATCCTTCCCATTCTGCATTAAGTAAACTTTAAAGGAAGTTAAACAGCCTGGCAGTGAAAATCCAGGGAACACAACCGCACCCAGAGGTTTTTGAGACTAGTGTACATTCATCTGCCTCCAACCCCCTTGCTTGCTGCGAAGGCAGATTGCAGCACGTAAGGGTTGGGAGGCACCTGAATGCACGCTAGCCTGGCCATTTCAGAGCTGATTCACTCAACTTAACAAAAAAAAAAAGGTACCGGAGTTCCGGTTTGCAGCGCTTCGGCGGCAGGCAGGAATCCGCGATTGTGCAGTTTTTGCCTGGGCTCGCCGCTGGAGTGCCCCGAGCCAACCGGCTTCGGGGATAAGCCACCCCGTAGAGGTGGTGAAGATAGGGGAGATCCCAGCAGGGTCGAGGGGAGTCGCACCTCTCCTCCTCAGCTGGCTAAACTCCCTTTTCCGAAGGCGGTAAGAGCGGCAGGCAGAAATGGCGGCCTCAAAGAAGCACTCATCTGGAAAAGAAAGTGCAGGAGGAAGTTAAGAAGTGAAAGTTTTGGCTGACCGGGATAAGAAGCAACAACTAAGGTATCCTGGAATTTAAACTTTAAAAAAGATACATCGCTCCCAAAGAAGATTCGGAAGCCGCGAATGAAAGTGAAAAGGGAAAGGTTTTTTTTCTCACTCTCCTTCCTTACGTTGACAGCAGATGAATGAGAAATCGGAAAAACCCGCTTTGGCAGCAGCAGGTAGTTAAACTGGAAATTTATATGCCAAGGGGACAGTAAAGATTTCTGAACACCTAAAAAACTTTTTTTTGCTGTAAGTGGGAAGGGAGAAGAAAAAAATAAGAGCAAGATTTGGATGGAGGAGGCTGCTTGGAATTTGAAAGAATCAAAAGTTAAATTGTAACAAGACTTCTAAAAGATACATTCTAACTGGAACTTTGTAACTAAACTGTAACCCCAGGAAGAGAAAGTGAAAAAAGAAGAAAGTGAACAGCTTGTGTGCATTTGGATTACTTGGTGACTTTGGGACTTTTGGAAATTATATTTGAATGATTAAAAACACTTGGGTGGTTGTTTAATTTTTTTTTTTACAATGGCATCACTTGTGGATGAACTGAAACTGGAATTTAAAAAATATAAAGAAGAGGAACAAGAAGGGAAGGGCTCTTTTGGCTCCGTTTTTCATTTCTTAGAAATGGCGATCTGTACCTATGAGAAGCTACAAGAAACTGCGTGACAAGAAGACTGGGACAAAGAAGAAGCCATCTTTAATGAACAAGTAACTTTATCTGGTGAAGAAAGGGGAAAGAGAATGGAGAATTTAAGACCTAAAAAAACAACCAAAAAAGGGAAAAATAAGGTGAAAAGTGGATATAATGTCAGAAAGCAACAGAAAAAGGGAACACGGAAGAGGGAAATAGAGGTGAAGAGACAAGGGGGTAAAAAGGGCAGAGCGAAGAAGCAAGGGAGGAAGGAAGGGAAGAGAAGCTACAAAGGTTTGGAACAAGATGTAAAGAAACAGGACTTATTTAGAGATAATGGGTAAAAATATAACTGAAAAGAGATTCTGCAAAGGTACATAAGATTGTATTGTTATACTTGTATTAGAAATAATGTTAGAAAATTGGAACAACATATGATTATAAAATGGGATAAAATACTCAGTGTAATCCAGTGAAACTTTCTTGAATAAAATAAATGAAATGAAATAAATGAGAGAATTGAATTAGGAAGGAATGGGAACATTTTAATTACACAATGTTTTAAAATATAAAGTGAAATGGGGAGGAAGTTACTACGCAAAATTTATAAGTGTTCCCATAGAAGCATGATACGTATTTGAAAAGTAATGTGTAAAATGTTTAAGATTTAAATGAATATTAATTTTAATGATTTAATGATTTAATGAGCTCAATTGATATGAATTCTTGTTTTAATTATATTATATATTTATAATTTCTTTTCTTAAAATATAGTGTGTAGCTTTAGAATGTACCAAGCAGAATTCAAATGAAAGTTATGTATTATATTAAGTGCTATAAATTTAGGGGAAAGATATAAAGGCGTCATACTCCAATCAGTGATTACAGGAGAAATTTTGTGTTAATGAGAAAAGATAATAGACAGCTGAAACAGGACAAAGTATAATGATTTAAACTGAGATGAAATAAAATAGAATTAAGAGAGTTAAGAGAGGGGAGAAGCTATATAGAAAATGTAGAATGGTAATAAGACATGGAACGGTATATAAAAGTGAGCATGAATTTGAATTTGTGTCTGTACGAAGAGATGTACCCGGGATCAAGCTGCTTTCAAAAAATATGTTTTATGTTTTCATGTTTTGTGTTTTATTTATGTTTGTTTTTTAAAAATCAATAAAAATTTTGGAAAAAAAATAGGTACCGGTTTCTGCTGAAGCTGCACAAACCGGCTGAATCCCATCACTGGATCTATCACTTATATCACATTTTCTAAGACGTAAGGAATGACAAACCACTTCTGGCATCTTGATGAAATGACTGTAGGGAATCAGGCCAGGCAGCTTTAAGAATGACTCAAGAACAAGAAAGTGTCCTTTACAGTATTCTTTTTTCTTTCTTTCTTTCTTAAGAAACGGAGAAGGGAAATTTATCGTACCTTAAGTTAATAGTATATCCGATTCTTCCGAGCTTTATTTTCAGTCCACCGCCTCCTGTTGAATCTCCACGTAGGGATTCCCCAGCAGCGAATCCCGCTCCGATGCTTTGTATTCGTGGACGCTGCTCAATATGCTAGCTGAAGATAGTGCATGTGACTCCGACATTTGGGGTGGTTTTTTTTTTTTTTCCGGCCAAACGCTGCTTTTCCAGCCCTCGTCACCGCTCAACAGCAGGGTGAGGTTCCCGCTCGCCGAAGCTCCCGCGGTTTCCAGCTCCGCTCAGGCGAGTGGTGCTTCCCGACCTTTGCAGACCACACCACGTGACCAATAGTTTTCCCACCCCCCCACCCCCCCTCACACCGCCGGAATTTCTTCCAGTCGCTCATCGATAGGAGTAACCGTCTCGCGATACCTTTTGTGATCTCGCTAGTCCGAGCGCTCCGTGTCTCGCGAGATTCCCCCGACAAGATGGCAGCGCGGTCAAGCTGGTGAGAACGGAGCGGCGAGCGGAGGAGGAGGAGGCGGCGGTGGCTTCTCCCGCAAGAAAGCTCGGCTGGGTTCAGAGGTTCTCCGCTCGCGGAGTGTCCCCGGCTGGGGGAATGCCGACGGGACGGGACTCGCCGCCGCGGCTCTGAGCGCCCGGAATCCTCCGCAGCATTTGCAGCGCCGTGTCTCCCCATCGTGGCCCCCCAACGCCCGGGGCCGCCGTTGGCGATGACCGGAGAGAAGCTGCGCTCGCTGCGCAAGGATCACAAGCCCAACAAGGAGGACGGGGACCTGCTGGGGCCCGGCGAGGAGGAAGCGGCGGCCGCGCCTGGCGGAGGCGCTTTCACAAGCGCCCGGGCGGGAAGCGGCAAAAGCGGCCGCGGCTCGACCCACCGCATCTTCAGCAACCATCACCGGCTGCCGCTGAAAGGAGGGCCCGGCGGGGGCTCTTCCCTGGCCGGGTCCACCCTCGACCCCATCAAGCCCCCCGGTGCTCAGTTCCCCGTGCACGAGTGCGTCTTCAAGGGGGATGTGAGGAGGTTGTCGGCGCTGATCCGCACGCAGGGCATCATCGGCCTCAAGGATAACCACGGTAAGGGGCTATCCTTGCCCTTCTCTGCTTCGGGAAGGTAGAAGAGAGCCTTCTCCATAGGGCCCGTGGCTGTGGGGCTCCGTCGTAACCCTTGATTCCCCTGATTTATTGGTGGAAATTCTGCCTGTCCCTAATCTTCACTTCTCCATCTCCAGGGGAAATTATGTGTCTGCCCTTGCTTTATTTGGCAGCATCCCTCGAGTTACAACTCTCGCTTAAGAGGGGAGCGTCCTTTCTACTGTCCTGAATAATCAAATATAACCAAGCCCTGCAAATACCTTCTCCTTCCTGTTCTTTTGCCTACAACCACAGGTTCCACTTTTTTCAGATGGGCAGCTAGTACTTGGACAGGATCTTTGAAAAGTATTGGGCTGTATTTTAATTTTGAGAATTTCCAAACAGAATCTTCTTTGGAACCTAAGCGTTTAATTCAAGTTGTTCCTGTGTAGTGTTTCAGATCATGACCCGATTATGGGCTATTTTAAATGTTGAAAACGTTACTATTGAAAAGATTGTTTCTGACAAATATATGCTTGTGACTGTGCTTTTGAAGAAGTAAAATTCTTGTTGCACACAACAAGGTTGATGTTTTTCTTCTTTAAAAAGAAAATACCATTTTATGTTTTTTTTTCTTCCTGTTCTAGACTCCTAACTCTTTACATTTATGTAAATTATATTCTGTTGAAGGAAATCAATTACCTAATCAGTGCTTTAAATAACTAAATGTCTCAAGTTCAAAGAGAATGTACTAATCAGTAATGTAGGTTTAATAACTAAGCCTTTACTTATCGTTCTCTTCTACAATCTGTTTTATTTTTTTACTGATCATTATGATAAAGGAGAATATTTGTAGCTGGGGTTGAAATGAGGGGTGATGGTGTTATCTAGTTTGGGTAATGAAATGTCTGCAAGAAAATCAAGCCAAGAAAGCGAAGGACCACTGATCATTATGAGGGTAACTTTGCTAGTTTTTATTTTGTACAGTTTTTCTCCATTAGTACAAACATCCTTTGTAATTCATTGCTGCCTGTTATTAAAATGAAGTGTGAGTAAATGGCAAACTTGCCAGCTTCTTTCCTAAACACTAATCAGAGTAAATTCATACCGTTAGCAGTATGCAGCACCTGTTCATAGGAAACACTGCCCTTCTTGTAAGAGAATAGGAATGCAACCCTTCTGGAAAAAAACAAAACCTTATCCCTTCAGATATGTGTTAGTGTTACTTTTTGTTATGTTTTTCCAGCATAGCGAACCCACCTTTCTTTTTCATCTCTGGTGAATTGCTGTTAGCTAGTTTTTAAGAGAGTGATATTGTCTTAATAACCATGTTTCATTTTTAATAACATGAATTAAAAATAAGTTACTTCTCTAACCATCGATATTACTCTAATAGTAGACAATACGTGTAGCTCAGTGTTGAACTGTGAAGTTCTTGGTGTTCTTTGACCATGGTTGCTTGCTTGCTTGCTTGCTTGCTTGCTTGAAGACATTTAATTTGCCAATTAGGTAACATTGCAGCAAATGAATATAGGGTTTGCTTTTATACACTAGTAGATTGCAGACTAGAATTCTGAATTAAACTATAATTCAGTTAGGATGCTGATAATTTTTCCTCAAATTCAGATTCAAAAGAAATGGATTTAGGATATATGTTGAACCTCTTAGCATCTAAAGCAAGGTTGTACACAATATTTTCCTTGAGACCTGGGAAAGATGGTCCCATGTGGCCAGCAGGTGCCTTGCAAAGGGTCAGGTGGGCAGGCTTCATAAGCAGTAGGAGCAAGAAGACGGCAAAGGTCAACTGGAGCAGCAGAGCACAAGGCAGGAGTTTTGTTGGAGTGCAGGAAGGCAAGGGCAATTGTACCTGGACAGCTGAGGCTTTCTGGGGTGGCTGCAGTTTTGTACCACACTACTGGCTCTTTCAAAATGGCTGTGGCTTTGTGTTGCATTATTGGGATAAACTGATCTTCCCAAATTGGCCTGCAGCTTTGCACTGTTCTACTGGGTTTCCGAGGGTGCAGCCATAGCTTCACTGTAGCTTCACACCATGCTGCACTGCTGGGATGGCTGAAGTTTCCAGGATTGGCTGCAGCTTCGCACTATGTTGTGGCCCAGGGGCTTCTTGCAGCCTTAGAGCTATGCCAAGAAGCCCCTCAACCACATCATGGCAAGCCGCCCAAAGTCATACAGTTCCGCACAGCTGCTCCACAAAGTAAGAGTGCCAGGCAGCCAAAAGGGCAGTTGTGAAAAGAGTTGTGGGGAATGGGCAGTTGTGGAAAGTTGAAAGGAAGGCAGTCACATGGAAAAACTGAGGGCTCAGGGTTGAGAGGGACCAAGCCAGAATGCCTCAGATTGGGGTGGGTTCTTGGCTAATGACTGGTGGAATTTAATTAATGACAACGGAGGGTGCTGTCACTAAACAATGCAGTCATGTGACATTGAACTTTATAGCTATATTACTTAGCAGTGGAAATACTAGTCCCAATTACTACCATGACTCAAGGATTATCTGTATAACTCATAAATCATCCAACAAGTTTTAAGAAGAGACTGCAAATTACGAAGGAATAGGTATTGCATGGCACGTGGCTCATAAATCCTTTTCTAACCATCTTCCATAACCCTAAATTAAATTGATTTAAGTATATATTATATTCCAAATTACATATGTCTAATGTGTTCTGTACCTGATAGTCATTTTTAATTACGTATAACATTTGCTGTTGAGAGTAGACAAACTTTAACACTCCCAACTTGCTAAATTACAATTCTTAACATCTCAGGGCAACATGCTGAAGAATGCTGTGAGTTGTAATTTAACAAATAATTGGAAGAACACAGTTTTTCTATCACCTAGTAAAGAAATCTGAATTCTTCCTATATGTTTAAACACCAGCAGTATCAAAACAGTCTAGGTTTTAAGGTTATCAGTAATATATTTGTTCAGTTGATTCCTGGCAATTGCCTAGACCAGGGGTCCTGAGCCCCCGGTCCATTGACCAGCACCAGGCTGTGGCATGCCAGAAACCGGGCCATGCAGACAAAGACCCATCCACAGGATTCAGGCAGCACGTAAAACCACATCCTCTCCAGTCCACGGAAAAACCCCTCTCCATGGAACTGGGCCCAGAAGCCCAAAGGGTCGGGGGGGGGGGGGGGGGGCCTGGAAAAACACTTTCTGTTTTCTTAACAACTTTTTTGGAAGTGGTTTGTCATTGCCTCCTTCCTAGGGAATGGGAGAGAGTGATAGATCCAAGCTCATCCAGCTGATTTTGTGTCCAAGGCAAGATCAGAACTCACAATGTCCTGCTTTCTAGCCTGGTGTTGTAACCATTACAAGTTGGCTGTCAGATGTTTCATCAGTCAGTATTCAAGGAATAAAGCAATTATTCCTTCTCATGCCTCTGTATATGTTTCTTTGCAATACAAATATGAACAAGAATAGAGTTGTCACCAATTTTTAAGACTAGTTAAAGCATTAAATTTGTGTTCTGTATGATTGCAATGTGTGCCAATACAAAGCCAAGGTATTAGAGGAAACACTATACTGTTTTAGTTAATGCTGAACAGAACTTTACATCTGAAAATTTCATTAGAAATTAATAGTGGAATGTAAGCCCAGTGCTTAATGCATGCTTAACATCATGTATATTAATGCTGAGATAATCAAGGTTGCCAACTTGAAACATATTTTAATATGCTAAATTACTTGTATATCTTCTTTTTTTGTGTAAACAAAACATAATTAAATCTGGAAAGAGAGATGCAGTTATACAGCCTTACAATAATAAATACTTTTGACAATTGAAAATTGCAGGCGTATAAATTTATAAACTTGTAGTAAAAAGGATTGTAACATTATAGTGATATATGCCTTCACTTTTCATAGATTTTTCACATGCTGAGTGTCCGTACTAAAAATGTAATGCTTGCATTTAACAATTTCATTGTATTTTTAAAGGCACTGGAGATATTTTTCTCCAGGTTTGTCTTCAGTAAAGTTCACAGTGTTTATTGGATTTCAATAAAATGGGTTAAGAGTTTGCTTCTAAGTTGCTGCACTGAATGCTCCAATTAAAATGTAACCTTTATAATCTGATGGCAGACTTATTCATATATTAAAACAGGTTTTCATGTAGCCACAGACATGGTTTGGTACAGTATATCTTTACAAGTAATAGTGCAAAGAGACCTCATTACTTGATTAGATATGGTAGGTTAACAGGAGCAAAAGGAATATTGA